TACACAGACTCAGAGCCATGTACTCTGCTTCCGCTGAGCTGAGTGCAACCGTTCTCTGGTACTTGGACTTGAACACAACCGGAGCGTTCCCAGTCATGACCATGACACCTGATACGGAACGCCTGTCGTCAATGTTGCTTCCCCAGTCTGCGTCCGTAAACGCCTCTGCCTTGACACCTTGCGTTCCACTTTGGTAGACGATACTGTGCTGCCGAGTTGTCTTCAAGTACTGCAGGACCCGTATCGCTGCCTTCCAGTGTTGCGTTCCAGGATTCTCCAGGAAGCGTGACAACTGCGTTACAACGTACGCAATGTCCGGTCGAGTGCATGTTGTGATGTACATCAGGCATCCGATCAAGGAACGGTACGGTCTTGACTGCATTTCACGTCGTTCCTTCTCCGTGGCTGGCGACATCATCTTCGACAGCTTCATGTTTGACGCGCATGGGTTATCCAACATCTTGGCGTTCCGTTGGTTGAAGCGCTCTACAATGTCGTCAATGTACCGAGTTTGCTTGATCATCAGCGTTCCAGCTGCCTTATCATGATCAATCTCCATCCCCAGGATGAACTTTGCCTCGCCAAGCTCTTTCATCTTGAAGGCACTCTTCAGAGCGCCCTTTACTTCGCGAATCTCTTCGCGTGTCTTCGCCGCAATGATCATGTCGTCCACATACAGGCACACGTACACGAATGCGTCCCTGGAACGCTTGACGTAGACACACTGGTCGGCTCCACAACTCTTGAAACCGTTCCGCAGGAACACACGATGGATAGTCTTGTTCCATGCACTTGCAGCTTGCTTCAAACCATAAATGGCCTTTAGCAGCTTGCACTTCATGCCTTCAGCGTTCTCGAGACTAAGTGGAACGTCCATGTAGACCAAATCCACCAAACCGCTGTTTAGGAACGCTGTGTCAGCAACCAGTTGCTCCATAATGTAGTCGCATGCCACACACACAGCGAGTACAACTTGAATCGAGTTCATGTTTGCAACAGGAGAATACGGCTAAAAAATCGATTTCAAACTTCTGCTTGAACCCTTGAGCTACTAGGCGTGCCTTGTAACGGATAACACGACCGTTCTCGTCACGCTTCTTGGTGAACACCCAGCGACATCCAATGGAGCGCGTAGCCGTTCCACATGGAACCAACGTCCACGTTCCGCTCTGGGAGTGAGAGTGTAACTCAGCCTTCATAGCTCGACGCCATTCAACTGCTTCATCACTGGCGATAACTTCTGCGTACGTGTTCGGCGTATCCGGTACGCCTCCGATGCTGGCCGCGTATGCCAACACTGCCTCTGCGAGTAAACAGTCTTCATCGATCCTAGGACGCTTAGGAGACGGCGGTCCATCACATCCTCTTTCAGACTGACGTTCCACATCGTCATCGTAGCCGTTCCCAAGCAGAAACACCGGTTCCCGAGGTCGGGTTGAGCGTTCCGTTTCAGGATGGAAGATTATCCGGTCCTCTTGGAACGCAGGAGGTTGTGAGCGGTACGTTGCCAGTTCCAGTCCACTCGACCGGCGTTCCTCCGGTGTGGGTAGCTGTGGTAGCTCTGCGTTCCGTTCCGGTTCAACATCGTCCATCTCAATGTATTGAGCAGGTTCTTCCGCTTCTTCCATCGGTTCATCTTGAACAGACTGTCGTTCCACTTCTGGAGCTGAAACCACGGTGTCGTCATCGTTCCTTGTCACATGGATGATCGTTCCAGAAGCTGGCGACGGCGTGGTACTGATACCGCCCACCTCACGCTCGTCCAGCTTTACCGATCGTGCCACCTTGACCTTGGATGCATCCAAGTCGTACACACGATACCCTTTTACGTTCTCTGCGTATCCGAGGAACGTGCACCTGAAGCTCTTGGGTTCCAATTTCGTTCTCTTCACATCAGCCACGTGAGCGTACCCTTGTGATCCAAACACGCGTAGGTGTTCCATCCGTGGCTTCACTCGGAACGCCAACTCATATGGCGTGACATCCGAGTTGGATGTGTTCGTGGAACGGTTGATAAGGTAAACTGCAGTACTCACCGCTTCAGCCCACCACTCCGTCGACATAGACTTGTAGTGTAGCATGCTTCGTGCCATCTTCATGATGGTACGGTTCATGCGTTTCGCAACACCGTTCTGCTGAGGGCTGTATGGAACGCTGCGTTGATGCGCGATGCCATTCCGCTGACAGAGTTCCAATACCGTCTTGTTTACAAACTCCGCTCCATTATCGGAACGCAGGCACTTCAATCGTTCCCCCCACTGATTTCCATACAGCGCCTTGAACTCCTTCAGCTTGCTGCCCACCTCACTCTTGCTCTTCATGAAGAATGTCACGACATACCTTGAGTAGTCGTCTACAAAGGTCAGCACGTACTTGGCACCCCCCTTTGAGAGCGTTCTCATTAGTCCCATAACGTCCGTGTGTACTAGTTCCAACACACGCGTTGTCTTCGTCAGTGATCGTGACGAAAACGCCGTCACGGTCTGCTTTCCCTTCATGCATCCACCGCACAAAGTCTCGCACCCCCTTCTTACTGGCGGGATACCGGTCGTGGAACGCTGGGTCTTCGTCAGTGCGTCCTTGTTGGGGTGACCCATGCGAGCGTGCCAAAGCTCCCCCTCGCTGTCTGCATCGGCGTATTCCACGAAACGGGCCTCCTCCTGCTGACAGTCCAACAGAAATGCCTTACCGATTTTCTTCCCGGACGCTATTGCAGCGTTCCGTCCCCAAATTACACAACTGGAACGCTGGAACTCCCACACTCATACCGCGTTCCGCGAGCTTCCCGACTGACAATCAGCGTCTATCGAGCCCGGGGATGTGAAGCACGTCCACCATACAGATGCGTCTACCGTCCAAACTAGTCAACTTGACCGTTCCAGTTCCTGCGACGTGCAGCTTCTTGCCGTCTGCAATCGTCACCTCCATGCTAGTGTCCAACGACTTGTACTCAAACAGGTCGTTCCGGTGAGGGGTCATGTGCGATGGCGCACCGCTATCAATCAGCCACCCGGCCGAGCGTTCCCCACCAACTGCAAACACTGCATCGTCTTAGCTTTCCTTCTTCGTAGCAGGTCAGTCCCGCTTCATGTGGCCCACGTGGTCACAGTTGAAGAACTTGCCCTTGAAACCAACGTTCCGCTTCGGAGCGGTCCACTTCCGACCGTTCCCTCGGCCGTTTCGGAACTTGCCTGCGTTCCCATTCACTTGGAACGCCTTCTCCGTGGTTTCCTTCTTCTCGAGTCGCTCATACGCCTTCAATAGCTTCTCCTTGGCCTCGATGAGCGTCACACCCTTGGCGTTCTCCAGGATAGACGATATGAGCTCGTATTCGGCGGGGAGGCTGCTCAGCAGTACCACCAGCTGACGTGCCTCGTCTATGGGCTCTCCCAGCGTCTGCAATCCGACGATCAGCTCATCGAACGCATCCAGATGCTTGGCCATAGACGATCCGCTCTCCATCTTAAACTCGTGCAGTCGACGCGTCATCGTCACGCGGTTGTGGAGCGTGATGCGATTGTAGAACTCGCGGAGCGTTTCCCATGCTTCCATGGAGCGCGTCGCCGACCGGATCTTGGTCTGGTGCTGGAGTTCCACACCCTGGGCGATGATGCCAAGCGCCTTGGCATCGTTGACGAGCCACACCTCTGTGATCTCGTTCTCAGGCTTGACGACTTGAATATGCGCAAGCAAGCCTTTTCTGGCTAGCGTCATGCGCATATTGTACTCCCAATGGAAGTAGTTCCCACTCCTGAGGAGGACTCCGGCACGCTTGGTAGTCGTCATGGTCTTGAGCGTTCTTGCGTGGAGCGTTCCGTTTCTTGAGCGTTCCTGCGTGGAGCGTTCCGGTCGAGTTGAGGTTGCGGCTGTTAACCTGTTGTTGTTGTTAACGGTAAATGCCGAAGTGAGTAGATTAAAGTCAATTAGATATGTCCTCTTGTCAAGCGCTCCTGGCCATCCACCAGATTAACCGGTTTGGGAACGGTCCATCGTGGAACGCTCAGCCGGTTAACTGAACCGTGCAGAGTCGGTGTGAATTAGCAAGCATAAGTACTAGTGTTAAATCGCCATTTGCTGTGATTCGTTGTTAATACAGCTGTTAATTGATGTATCAACGTAGCAACTAAAAAAAACTCGGTTTTTTTGTCGCTGATACAGCGTTGTTGAATAGCTTGTACAAGCTATGATTGAATGTACCGTATCAGCACCGATAAGGAGATTCTGTAAATATCAGTTTCGCGTAATATCGCTAAAAACTGATACCATTGCAAAAATATACCTAATGGATAGGATTCGAGGCTGTGAATGGGCCGTGGTATATAGCCCCTGAATGGCGTTATGGACAAGGTAAAAATGAAGTGAGAAAGCTCTGATCACCAGCTTTCTTTTAAGGTATAGATTGGCTAAATCCGTTAGCTAAAGCAGGAGCTACATGTGCTGGAGTCAAATGTCGATTCCTAAGTGGGTCAGAGTGGTATGAAACAGGAGGCGGTAAGGAGGCCAAGCCGTAATGTACGACTCGTAAGTAGTGGTTTGGTATTACTTTAGTGCTACTAATATTGCTCCGACCTCCAAAATACGCAAGTAGAAGTAGTATTACCGCGTCTGGTTGAGACTTAATATTACCAGTACTATTACTACCACGATACCATTAACCCCGGTAGCACTGCACAATATTTTTTTAAATTGTCTTATATCGCTGTAGTGATCTTGCAAAATGTTTCAATTCAAGTCATTACATTCTCGTGCAGCACTACCTATGCCTTTATTGATCTGTGTGGCGCTAATCGTCAGCACCGCACCGTTCAATATGGATACATCTTGCAACACTCAATTACTCTAAAGGGAAATGCTGTTGCATAAAGTATCAGATCAGCCAACTGTCTTCGAAGGTTATACCTAACCGGTACTCAGCTAAAGAAACACGTTATTATTGCCCCCAGAAATTCCAGCTGCTTGTAACGCAGTAGCGTTTTTGGTAGTAGCTCCATCGCTACTCATTATTTCAGCTGGGTCTTCGTACCAGGATATTTTACCTTCCACGCATCGGTCAGCTGCATCCACAGCTTCATCCTGCCGGAGTAGTTCACGCCAACAAACCGGTTTTTGGGTTTATGAAGATTGAGCACTTCGTAAACCCGGTCAGGGTGGACTCTATCATCCACGAGTTTCTGCACTGCTGTATCCAGATTCACTTGGCTCGCCTTGGCTTTCAGTTTTGACGCCAAATACGTGTCCTTCACACGCTTCAACGCGCCTGTCCCGAGCTTCTTGACAAAATCAGTGAGCCCCGCCCTCTCCTCGTCTTCGGTGCCCTCGGTCTGATCGCTCGTTTTTTCAGCTCTCAGTAGACGCTCACTTCCTGGAATTGGATGGGCAGCTTTGATCAAATGGAGATGGCGGACGTTGACGATCGCAGCATTGCTGCAAACGATCATAATGGCCACAAGTAGTATGTAGGAGCGCATACGTCGGTTCTGCAATACCACAATGGTGCGCGTGGAGGAATGTTACGTGTTGGCTGCTCTGCTAGATAATTGCGTTATGTCGTGGTTGCTGCATCAACGTATGTGTGCTGTGCACAAGAGTGAAGGGAGCAATGCCGGTACTGGAATTTCCGGTTTCTTAATAGCTTCGAATCAAATATAGAAATTTACATTAGTCTCGAATGGGTGCTGAGATTTGTGAGCGAAGATAACCAAATTAGCAAAAAGGACAAACACATATATACAGAAAAAGGAACTACAGTAGCAAGCTGCTGGTATATCTGTTAAAATGATCAAACTTTAATGGAGTTAAGCCAAAAATTAGCAACCGTTACAGTCACATGTGCGCTACTTGATTTTTACTCTTACAATTTTTAAATATGTGGAATTATAGAATCTGCGTCTCTAATAGATGTTTACAGCACCGCGCAGGTGAATATACCGAATTCATCTATATGGATCGCACCTATTTACCTGCACACTGTCCTGACTCCTCTGCACTCCTTACTCCAGCAAACGTCAAATCGTGGAAAAGCCCCAAAATAAAATGTTGAATTCCGTCCGGAATCGGCCAATTACTGGTAGCCAAATATCATATGATATTCTTGATAGTAATAGTACTATTTTTTCAATATAAAATTATCAGTAGTAGCTCATTTTCTCAAAAGCTAACATTATATTTTAATATTAGCTCAAAATACTAGATACTTAATTATATTTTATAATTGTTTTTCACTTAAGTACGCTTCTTGCCACCTTTCCTGAACCGAGGGCTCACAAAGGAATTCTTTCGGTCAACTTCAAGAAAAGCAGTAGACTTTAAGACTGACGAGTATTTGCTCTAGTAATTCGCTGTGACACAGACAAAGGCGATCAAGATGAGAATTATGAGCGCTTGCAGTTGTTTAATGTCGATAGAGCGAAATGAAGGTATTTGTTCTTGTTCTCTACCGATAGTGTAACGGGGTACAATCCAGTGTGCCCCATGTTACATAAAGAGTGACCCGTCACTCTTGTGGACACCTGGTACACGGTACCAGGTGCTCTCGGAGCCAGTCAGTGCATGACTACTTAGCTTTACTATAGGTAACCTCTAGTTTGTATGACACCCAAGCTTATCTTACTTATAAATACATCAATCTTAAATATACTCCTCTAAGTAGCAAACCGTTCCCACTGAGGCCGGGAACACGTGGACTTACGTTCACTCGGGTAATTAATACCCTTAAGCACTTTCTCTGTGCAAGGTGCTGTGTGACCCCGTCACACTTGGTAGCACTCGTAGTCAATCCAGCACCATCGCGGGTAGATTGAACTACCTGAATCCTCTGTGCGCTCAACGTTTAAGCCAAGATGAACCGAAGCGAGTTTCCTCGCTTGAACGACTCACAGTATGAGTCTGTTCGGAAGATGGGAGGCATCTTTGGACAAGATGTTCTTCGCAGCTTGGCGGCGGCGACGCCTGCCGAGCAACAAGAGCGCGTGACCGCGTTTGAGACCTACGAGCGTGGTCTCATCGCTCACGTCCGCGGGAGCTTGGAGGCCACGATGGCCGCTCCCCAGGCAACCAGGCCTAAGCCGGTGTGGCTGAAGGTCCCCGCGTTTGAGGGGAAGGAAGGCGAGAACCTTCACTTCTGGGTCCGTGAGGTGGAGATCGCCATGAAGGCGGGTCTCATCTCGGACGAGCCAGTTCGGGTGGCGTTTGCCCTGTCCAACCTTGGTGAACGTGCCAAGCACTGGGCATACACCAGGGAGACGACATCTCCTGGATGCTTTGCATCCTGGACTCAGCTGTGTAAGCAGCTTCGAGCCGCGTTCCTACCGGCGAACAACGAGTTCCGCCAGCGCTCACGCTTTCTCGCGTGTAAGCAAGGTAAACGTGAGCTGCAGGAGTACGCGCAAGAGATGCGCACGTTGGTGGCATCTCTGGCAGGGAATCCTCTGCCTGAAGACATTAAGACAACAGTCTTCATGGACGGCCTGAAGGTCGGTCCTGCTCGCACCCAGCTATTCCGGGTGCAAGCGACAACTATGGAGGAGGCGATTCGAATCGCCCTCCAAGAAGAGTACAGCCACAAGCAGGCTGGTACTTCTCGGGAAGAGGAACATCGCCACGATAAAAATGGCGTTCCTCGGGAGGCGGAGCATCGCAGCAATGACGCTGTTGCTCCTGCTGTCACGCAGCCCGTTGATACCGGTGCGTACAGCAAGCCCGAACCCATGGACTTAAGCTCAGCCGAGAGCTTGGTCCGCTGCTATGGATGCGGCGGACATGGATACTACCAGCGTGTGTGTCCCTCGCTAGTCCTCGGGAAGAAGACGGCCCGTGGGCCCCAAGACCGGTGGCGCAGGCCACGGCCAGGTGGACGAAGCCTCCCCGTCCACCAGTAGAGGCGCTATGCCCTACTAAAGAGCGCTAAGCCTTCGTGATGGGTGTGCAGGTTGTGCGCACCACGGAGCTTAGCCCAGAGAGACGTGGTTCTCTCAAACCGGTGAAGGGCAGTGATGGGATGCCGGTAGTACACTCGGTGTACGGGGGTACGGTACCCCTTGAACGTTTGATTAGTTCTGGGGCGTTGATACGCCGCCGGAACGTCGCTTAGCATAACGACATTCGACTGCACTCTACGTCAGAGTGGCGGTCATGGGCTGGTCCTTGATGGACTAGCCTTTGGTACGGTGAAGGAAGTACCAATGGTCCTTAACGGACCTGAACGTTTCGGCTCGATGAACTCGCGCACCGCGGTGTCGCTCGCAGTTCTCGCCATGAACAACATGGCTGTGCCGAACATAAGGCACAGCCCGGACTTTGGTGTGGCAAGGCTGAGAAGGGCCTACCAGTCCAGGTCTATGACGGAGCATTGGTGAGTCATGTTCCCACCTCCGTCATGACGGGGGCGTCTGATACAGACTGCCAGGACGCAGAAGCGTCACGGAGCTGTCAACGCGCTGACAGCTCTGCGTACAGCAAGACCATGCTCCGCTGCGGCAATACCACGGGCGTGGGTCTTTGCCCAACGTGTGGACCTGCTACACCAGCAGCGTCCAACGCCGAAGGTCGTCGCGCCGTACGGGCTTCGCCAGTGGTTATGCCTTTAAGCGCTAACCAGGTGGGTAACTTGGGACCACACGGTCGCCCAGACCTTAACTGAAGAGGAAGGCGCTGAATGCGCTTCCTGTGTGGATAACACAGTACCACATACGGTCGCCCAGACCTTAACTGAAGAGGAAGGCGCTGAATGCGCTTCCTGTGTGGGTAACACAGTACCACACGCAGTCGCCCAGACTATAAATGAAGAGGAAGGCATTGGCCATGCTTCCTGTGTGGGTAACACAGTGCCACACGAGGTCTCGAGTGCCTCTGATGTCGTCAACGAGACATCACGACGTGGGTAACGAAGTGCCACGTCACGTCAGCCGCCGCAAGTCGGGTCTGAACCTTGTTCAGGCCGACGTCGCTTCAAGCGACTCGTAGTTCAGGGCCCGGACTCCTCTGACTCGGTCGGGGGACACCAACTCTGTCCGGTGTGTGGGCGGGTCTGCCACACCAGCCGATCCCAACACCGAAGGTCGTCGCGCCGTATGCGCTTCGACAGTGGTGGTGCCTAAGGGCATTCACCAGGTGGGTAACATAGGTCCACACTGCAAGTAACAAGTTCCGCAAGCAGCGAAGCTGCTTAAGGAGACCGACATTCGGTGCTCCGAGCGTGGGTAACAAAGTTCCACGCAAGGTCACTCGGACCATAACTGATACGGAAGTCGCTGTATGCGCTTCCGGTGTGGGTAACAGAGTTCCACACCCAAGGCGAGTAACATAGCGCCGCACACAGAGCCATTGGCTCGAGGCGCGAGGTTGTATTGGCCTCGCCAGACGTGAGCAGCTCGCTCGACGTCAAGTCGCGCAGATTCAAACTGCTGACGCGAAGGCTGAATGCCTTCAGTCGACACGGCCGACGCGGTCGACCATACCGACGCAGTGCACATGGCGGAGAGCCGTTGCGCCTGCCAGTGGCTATTAGAAGCCACGAAAGACTCAGTAGTCTCGAGGTTAAGTGGGGGAGAGGCTCGGAAATACCTTTCCTCCCTGACTTTCCAAGAGGCAGGTAGCCGTCGTGCTGCCAGTGGCTATCACAAGCCACGAGAGACTCAATAGTCTCGAGTGTAAGTGGGGGAAAGGCTCGGAAATACCTTTCCTCCCTGGTCTGGAGGTAAGACCAAGCTCCTTACGGAACCAGGCGTCGATGTACATCGACTGCAGGCTGGAGACGAACAGCCGGGCTGGAGCTGCGGTAGCTCTAGCCGAACAAGACATAGTGGCGAAGAAAGCCACGGGCGCAAGGTGCCTCGGAATCGCTGAGCGAATCAGCAGTGTTGGGGTTGCAAGCAACCACACACGAGGCGAAGCGCGGGCCTAGTGCAATCAACGCACTGGTCCCTTGGTCATGAACGACCTGTCGAGTAGGATGAACGGAACGTCTCACCCGCCGACAAAGCGGTTGCGGTACCTGATGTACGCAACGCGCCGGGTATAATGGGCCGTGGAGCCATAACCCAAGTGTGGTGCACGAGTGCACACACAATTGACCAGGTGGTGGTCGAGGCAACGCACGCAGTCGTAGCTGGTGCCGCGCCGAGCATGACACCGTGGTGATGGCTGCTTGCCTCACCATGGGTTGGTACCCGTGAGTACTCGGTGTCAATGCCAGACACCAATGCCGCAGTGGCATAGTGGTGAGAGGTGCCTCACCACGGTCGAGTACCATCAAGGTACATGGTATCTGTGACAGACACTGGTATAGGTGCAAAGTATATGCACCATACCACGACCCGATGCGCTCTGGACGCTGTGAGTCAGCGCACGTACCGTGCATCGGCACTGGCTGCTGTCGAGCAGCCTGCCAGGAGTTTCACATAATGAACTCGTCGTGCATGACACACATGACGTGCACGGAGCACTTATGGTAGCTGTGGTACGTGTCGTA